TATCATTAGAGGAGGAAATCTGCCTCTATTTTCACTGTGAAATAGCTGGTGAGGACACAGACATAAAAGTAAAAGGAACTGGGATACTGAAAAGTGGCAAAGATTCAGAACAGTTGAGTGTAGACAAGTGATAGGGAGACGAGTTAGTGAACACTGCCAGAGCAGATAAAGAAGATATTATGTTCATAATCCCAGGCACTATGTGGTCATAGGACTTTGGGGAAGCCCCAGCTTCTGTTTCCGTAACTGTAAAACAATACTGAATCAGGCTCCATGATTATATGAAGGCAAAAGGAGCTGATAAGAAACCTCTGTGTCGGGAAACAATTTGTCCCTTGAAACCCACCATTGAAATCTTTAAGACCCAATAGTAATTGGCTCTCTCCCACTATTAATTATATTCTGGCCACTCCTCAGCTAACGCAATTGTCAGACTACTTCAGCAAGGTCTTTTTCATAGCTAAGGACTGTTTATAGTAAGGATAAACAATTGGGGCTCATTAATTCAATTATTAGGGCACTTATTATGCATCTATTGTCTACTGTAATCAGCTATGTTAAATAAGCTCTTCAGTCTTCATCAGAGCAATTATGCTAATATGCTTAAAATTTTCCAAGAGTATTAGACCTTCATACACTTATTCTGCCTGGCAGCAGCCTAGCTCAGTCAATATTATCACACACAGGCGATTATTATCAAGGCATTAAGACCCTTTTGTTGACATATGACTACCATATTATCTTCCCTCACAACAGAACTTTTAATAGTTTGTATACTGTTCTTTAAGGATTTAGATATTGAACCTAGTTTAGTCTTTTTCCAAAATATGTAGATCTCAGATAATATTTAGATGTCATCTTGGGAGTGCTCGTTACATTGGAATTGTACATTTTCTAAGTAATATATCAATAATCATTGGATTAGTTATCCAATGATCAATTTACCAATGATCATTTATGCATAGACAAGAAATTTACCAATGATCATTTAAATGTACAGACAAGAAACACATCAACAGACACTTGGAGAATAATGAGATATAAAAAACTTGCTTTGTCATATATTTTTATTTCACCCGGAGTAACTTCTCTTTCCTTTTTAATTCTAAAAAAATAACAAAACAAAACTCTACTAGTATGTCTCATTTTCTTCATTGACTTTGGCCAAAGAATGAGTTTTACACTATGATCAACCAATACTTTTGTGGTAGGCACATTACAGATACCAAATGAATACCTGTTGAATTTAATGTTTCTTCTTGGACATGCCTTGTTCTTGTCTCCAGCATTCCCATCAGATGTTAAATACTATTTTTAGCAGAAGCTTGCATATAAGGAGTGTGTGTGCTGTGTAGAGAGAGGCCTTTGCCCACATTCTCTACATAAATTCATACAAATATGAAATTTCATTGTATTGATGAATAAATCCAGCTGGTGCTGGATTTCTTCATTATCATTTACAATAAAAGTAATTACCTAAGTTGTTCTCTGTTTACTCAGGTTATCTCATGTAATGGTTGTCCTTTCAGTTGGAAATAACTGAATTTTCCTGTAAGAAGTAATAATGCTCACTGCAACTTAGTTCCACCAGGATGAGCAAACAGAGCACGGAGACCCAGGAGCTGTATTAATTACAAACTGGAAGGATGAGGTGCAGAATACTTGCACATACCATATCCCCGCCCTCCCTCTCCCCACAGTACAAATGCTGTATTTTACCTTTCTTCAGTTCCTTAATATTTTGGTAAGGGTGTAAAAAGGCAACCGAGAATAAGGTGTTTTTGGCCTTCAGGAACTTACAATCTAGATGTGGAGACAAACTATACACATGAGAAGCTAAGAAACTGCTCAGGACTAAACTAATGGGTCAAAAAATTATCAAAGCGAAGTCATTGCAAAAGTATATTTTAGAAAAAAAGGCATAGATAAAGTGATATAGATTTGGGATGGGGTAGCCAGGAAGGGATTTACAGTTTTACCAGGAGATAGAAGATGAGTTGCCTTTTGAAAAATCAACATATGAATATTTTTTAAAAACCAAACTACAGGGGCTGGGGATGTGGCTCAAGTGGTAGCGTGCTCGCCTAGCATGCGTGAGACATGGGTATCGATTCTAAGCACCACATAAAAATAAAATATAGATATCGTGTCCAGCTAAAACTAAAAAATAAATATTGAAAAAAAATTAAAAAAAACCCACCAAACAACAGGAGAGCTAATTATAAATTTTAAGTTTTATACTCATGATCCTCAGGCTCTTTCCAGAAGTAATCAGGATTATCATTTTTCTTATGTCTTTCTAGTGCATTTAAGTACCTTTAAATGATTCTGACTTGATTCAGGCTTAACTGATTTTTCAGTGGCAAGAGTAATAAAGGGTTAAATTTGTTGTTTATCTATACAAAAACCAGACTCACTCAATATAATTTATACAATAGGGACCTACTGATGGATCTTCAGGTACCCTGGTGGATTTCCAAGCTGATTGTTGCCATGGCAATCCCTGCTCTATGTGCCTTCAGTTTCTGTCTTGACCCACTTTGGGCTAGATGCATTCCAGCTGAGGGACAGTAGGCATGTTCCCATTTCTATGCCCTTTGGGGGAGTGTATTAGTAGCCAGACTGCCCCTCTTCTTCAATCTTCTAGATCTTGGAAGGTTTCCTACCTGGAAGTTAGACTCAAAATCTGAAACTTTTGAGGGATGGTCTAAGAAAGACCTCAGGCATATTACACACTGAATTAATATACCCCAAAGTAACTAATTCTCATTCTAGGAGCAGATACTTCTGAAATTTCATCTAACCCTGCTTTTGTTTCTATTCCTACACACCAATCCACACAGTGGAAAATATTTGTGACTCAAGGTAGCTTTTAATAGTCCATTTCATATTGAACCTGACGACTTATCATCAGTATGAAAAAGGACCTAAAGCCTGAACCAGTTTCCTACTTCAAGGAACAGACTTGAACAGACTTGGTCCTGTTCTCCTCAGTGGCTTTGGAAGGTGGTGACTGGAGGTGACTCAGCTGCACCCTTTAGCTTCCTGGGACCCTGTCACAAACTATTTTTTAGAAAGGATTATTAGGCCTGCCTCTAAAGTGACAAGAGAGGAAAATACCCTGGAAGAAAACTTTTCAAGGAAAATTTCTGCTGAGTGGATTCATCTCCGCAAGTCTGTATGCAACAGAAATGGAGGAAAGTTAATGATGTTGATGTTCCTTTAATTTCAAAGTCCTGTGCTATGCATTTTCACATTATTTCATCATCACACAACTATATTTAAGTAGTTATCACTTCAAGTGAGCTCCACTTGGCTAAAGATCTGAAACAGAGCTCCATTCAAAACTACAATTGGCTTAGGTCCAGGGTTGGTGCTCTTTATCACAACCTCCCCAAGTAGTACTTCTGTGTTTGAAGACACACAGTAGAAATGAAGATTTTGAAAGAACACCTGGAAAATCTGTAACTCAGGGAATAGCCAAATATTTTTCAAGGTCCATTTGAAGACGCCCTCCTCTGGAATATCTTCATATCTGAGGAGAAGGAATAGACTTCAAAAACTCTTACTGCTATGAATACTCATTCGGTACTTCCTGATTACAGACTTGTATTGCCCATGCTGCTTTCCGGCTTAATTAGACTCTCCTAGGCAATTTATCAAGTACCTAGGAATAAGTGCTGAATGGGCAGCTAAGAAAACTGTACTCTAGGCCCGTCCTTGTCACCAACTACCTGTATGAGACCTCCTTAGTTCTGCCTGACACAGTAGGTGCTTAATACCTGATATGATTAGTTGGGCTTAATGTTCTGTCAGCAGGGGCTTGGGTGTCTCTAACTTTTTAAAAACCAACAACCTCCCTGGCGCAGCTGTAATTTTCGGGCCTTGCTGCCTGCCTCCTGTAGGGCAAACATACGAAGTTGGGGCCTGGGAACATCCTCTGAACAGTAGAAACGTTAGGGAAGATAAGCAATTAAGGCAATACAGCAAAGCGCTCATCTTTTAGACTTCACGATGACCACCTGGAGCATGCACTGTTAATAGTACTTTTACTTGTGCGGCGACCAAGATTCAGGTTGAGGAAAATTCCCTGGCATCTCCCGTACACTAGTCTCAGAACGCGCAGGAAAGACCCCGGGTCCTGGCTTATTTACAACCTGGCCCCGCCCCCGTCTCCAGCACGAGGGTCCCGCCCACTCATTTGCGAAGGGCTCGCCCTGCACGCGCCCGGCACCGGGCTTCTCCAGAACCCTTTCTGCTCCAGGCGCGTCTAGTTCTCGAGTGGGCGCGAGGTCTCCCCGGGGACTAAGCACGTGTTCACTCCCGGCTTCACGACGGATAACAGACGAAGCGGCTGTCCCGGGAAGGCCCCACCCAATGGCGCTGATAGCCATAGGGGGTTCGGGGTCAGGTGGTGAAGAGGCGTCGTGCTCTCGGTCCTCCTAAATCCCCGCTTCTCTCCCCAACCCCTATGGGAGCGCGCCGAAGACCAACTCAAGCGAAACCGCGGGCGTCCCACCCCGCGCGGCCGCGCCTCGCCTCACGTTCGACGGGGGAGGCGGGACCAATCAGCGAGCTACGTCTCCCTTCCGATTCGAGGCCCCCGACGCGCGGCTCACACCCCGAGCTCCCCCGCGCGCCGATTGGCTGCGCGCGCCGCCGGTCCGGCTGGGAGGCGGAGCGGGCCGAAGGCAAAGGGAGGTGGGGAGGCGGTGGCCCGCGACTCCCCGCGCACCGCTCGGCCCCCGGCCCTTCCCGCGGCGCCCGGCCTCCTTCCTTCCCTCCTCCGCTCCCTCCGTCTTCCGTGCGCGCTCCGCGCAGCGCTCGGCCGGCGTGCCTCGCGCCCTAACGGGCGGCTGGGGGCGCCAATCAGCGGGCGGCAGGGTGCCAGCCCCGGGGCTGCGCCGGCGAATCGGCGGGGCTCGCGGCCCGGGGTGGGAGGCGGGTCTACCGCGCGGCAGCGGCGGCGGAGGAGCAGCGAGCTTGCAGCCCGCGAGCGCCGAGCGAGCCGCCCGGAGGTGGGTGCGCTGCGGCCGGCGGGCGAGGCGGAGAGCGGAAGCGGAGGTGGGCCGGCGGGCGAGGGCGCGGCCGTGCGGGCGCCAGGAGGGGCGGCGGGCGCGCGCCTGAGGGGAGGAGGGGCGGCGGGCGTCCCCACCCCCTCCTCCGCGGGCGGCGGCCGGGCCCCTTCCCCGCGCGCCCGCCCGTCCTCCTTTCCCTGTGCGCCGGGGCCCCCAGCCGGGCACGGGCCGGGGGGCGGGGGCTCTGCGGCCGAGAGTGTTGTCAGTTCCGCCTTCAATCGCCCATTCCCCTCTTCCCCTCCCAGCCCCCTCCATCCCATCGGAAGAGGAAGGAACAAAAGGTCCCGGGCCCCCCGGATCTGACAGGGCGGGACCTGGCGCCTCGGTGCAGGTAAAGCCTGGGCGCCCACTGGCCTCGCAGGGGTGTGTTTGTGTGCGGCCGCGGCCGGCGTGTCACATGGTCACGGCGGGTGGGGGCTGGGTGTGGCGGGGCCGTGGGCGCGCGGGCCGGGGTCGGCGCCGGGGGAAGGGGCTTTGCGCCCCAGCCTAGCCCGGTCGGGCGGACCCCCTCTTCCCTTCCCTTGCGCGGCTCTCACGCTCGGCACTTTCTGGTTCTGATTTCCAAAGCCGAAGGGCCAGAACTCTTGTTGCAGGAGTTGGGAAGCCGAGTTTGGAGCGTGTGCTACTTTGCTTCCACTTTTCCCCGTCCTGTAACCTTTGTTAACCATAATAGTCGTGGGTGCTGAATAGTTTGTGTACACTCACACAGACGCGCTCACGCTGATACTCTGCGGGGACCATCCTTAAAGCACTTGTGAAAGTTGCTCGGTGGGTGCAGCCTATTAGTTTTTTTTTTTTTTTTTTTAAATCACATGCCTTTAGAAAGCACGCTGATTGATTTCACCAATTTCAAACTTGGTTTTCAGAATTGCAGCTTGAATTACTTTGTTTTCTTCTGAGGAACACTGCCCTTAGGTCAGGTACTTTTGTCTTTTACTTACCCTTTCATGGTTATGGTTTCCTTCTGATCCTTAGACAAAAGGAAAACAACACCTAGGTTGGTTTTGTTATTCCTTTTGACATAAAAGCTAACTGCTACTCATTTGGTTGTCAATCAAAGCTTTATTTTAAAAATCCGGGTAAAACGAATTTGGAAGCAGCATTTTTTTTTTTTTTTTGGTCAGTAATGTAAAAAAATTGCTTGCTAAACAGTTTGGATCATCCTAAATTGTGGCATTTAAAAATTTTAAAACTACGTGTGTAAAACAGTGTAAACTTACGTGGAGTAATTTTCAAAAATGGTTCCTGAAATATGAATTGATTTCCAAAATTCCTTTTAATTTTCTCACATGATTTCATATGAATTGAATGTATACCACTGATAAGCTCAAAGAAAGCCATTTAATAGGAGCATAAATTTGCTGTTATGTTAAACATGTATTTGCTGTTATTTAACTTTTGATCCCTTTGTTTTAGAAGTTTCCTTCTTAAAGAGACGTGTTGGCCAACAGTTAAATGAAGTGTGAAGGTTTTTGATGTGAGAGTCAGTACAGCAAAAGTAGCAGAGATGGGAGGAATGTAAAATGGATTTCATGAAAGTATCAGTTTGAGAATTTTTTCATTTGCTTTAAGAAATGATATAGAATATTTAAATAATTTTCTCTCAAAAGATCATTTAGCAAATGTTCACATTAAATTCAGAAAATAACACTGATTTTATTTTTAAAGTTCCTTAGTTTTTGCTATAATTTAGCTGTGGTAGTGGTAAATATAAATAGTTCGCTTACTTGGGCTTTTCTAAGGTGCCAACTTAAAGTCTTCATGTTAAAATCTTGTGGATTTATTTGAGTTTAGGGAAATCCATTGGCTAGGTTTAATTGATGTAGTGTGGTTGCAAACACCCACTTTATATCTCTCTCTTTTTTTTTTTTTTTGTAAGAAATTGCTAGTACAGTGTGTTTTTTGTACTTTGTAGCTACACCTGTGATTTAACAGTATAGTTCTTCAACAAAATTTGTTTTATCAAGGTTGTAACTTACCTGTATCTAACTCTATACAACCTGTAAGATTTGTGAAGTAATAGTCTCATAAGAAACTGCTGGGTAATTTCCTGATTGTGGTTTGTCAGGTGTGGTAGGTATTTTAACTCTGGAGTTAGAAGAGTGGGGATGGTTTAGTGTATTTCAACAGTTCTCCTTAACAGAAACAAAGGTTGTTTCTACTCAAAAGAGCAATAGGTGCCTTTTATATTTTCATATTGTAAATATTAGAATAATGTCATAGTCTTATTACTTCGAATTGAGATTGAAGCTTTTACATTGTAAGTAAAACAATTTAGCTGCATAAACTGCTGGTTAAGGACCTTTTGAATTTTTATGTTTTGTAAATATTGTCAATTTTAAATTTTAGGTGTAAAAGTTTTCCTTATTGTTTGCTTTTGATTTTGTTGGTATTGTGCTTTAGAACTCCAGAAACTGTTTTGTAGCAGCATTTTTGTATAATGTATATAAAGGCTGTATATAGTGGAGTCTGGCAGATGGAGGTTTGTTCATACTCTTGGGACAAGAATCATTTTTAGAGGGTGGAAAGGGGCATGTGTTTTTAGATTCTTTGCCTTTTGGTAGGAGAGGTTTTTTGTTGTTGTTGTTTTGTTAAGGCCCTTTATTTCTGTAAGGGGAAAGATGCTTTCCACTAAGTATTACAAAGGTATATCAGAAGATGTGAAATTTAAGGATTTCAAAACAAGTTCAGGAGAGGTTACACATTTATTTAACAATTAATTTGTAGTTATTGGACAAATAGCATTTATTCAATGAAACAGCTTTTTCTGTGTCAGGCCCTGGTCTAAGTAATAAAGCTTCTGACAGTAAACAAGTACACCTCTGTTCTTAATGGAATTAGGAAAGTAGTAACTTCTCACGTCTCTTGCTTTAATCCCCAGTGGTTAGCATAAGAAAATTAATTGTATTAGTGTACAGATTGGAGAAGCATGCAGTGAATTCATTATTGGGCCAATTCCTAAAATGTACTGCTTTCTGTCAAATGTACAGAAGTGGGGAAGATTTGAAATGTTAACAGTATCACTGGGAACAATTTGTGTTACACCTGTCACCATTTTTGCAGTCTATATACTGAAGATAGGGCCAGTTTTTCAGAAAGGTGTTTGTTGGTGAACAGATGTACAGCGGTGGAGCTAAGTTTGATAAAGCCTCCGTTTGGTTAACCATTGCCCTTTAGTTATAGAAAATGGTAAAGGAAAGAAAGCAAACTTCAGTTAGTCAGGTTCCAGTGAAAGGATGAGGAGTAATACGTAAAAATAATTAAATCAAGAATAATTGGGGATCTGATGTAGGGGAAATGCCTTGGATTTTGAATCTTAGGCTAATATGTGGCTTCTTGGTTACAATAATGGGTAAATTACTTAACTCCAGAGTCTGGATTTTCTGACTGAAAATGGAGGTAATGATGTCTTTTTCTTATGGTTATTATGGAGGTTCAGTATTCGTGGTTAAAGTACCTAGAACATTGCCTGAGACATAGGGCCTTCCCAAATAATCTCTTCCTCTCTTCTAGTTGTGGGTTTTTGTAATTTAGACTCTTTCTGATCTAAATGATTTGCCTACACTCTTATCCTTGACCTATTGTAAAAGGCTGTTGAGAAGCAGACACTAAGCAGCAAAGGCCTGGGGTAGCTAGACTGTCCCAGTCTTACCTTAAATTATAGGAGAGTCCTTGAGATCCTTAGTTAGAACTTGTTGGCATTTATTAAAATGTTCCCAACAAGCAAAGTTTATCTGGCTTCTAAACCCACAGTAGATTAGAAACTAGTAGATTATGGGTAGTGTGGGAAGTTTTAACAGAGGTGTGGTGGGGAGTATATAGGAGAATGGGGAACTGTTAGCTTACTGCTTCGTGTAAGGAAAAAAAAAAACAAAAACAACAAAAACAAATAACAGCCTGGTAAGGATAATAGAGGTAATCTACAAGACAAAAATATTCAAAGCTTGACTAGCATGTCTGGGGCCATGCAGTGCAGGACCAGACCTGAAAATCTAGTAATGAATGTTCATCAATTAGCTTAAGTCATGTTTGGGAAAACCTTTTTAAGAGTGCAGTAATCTACGCAACATACTTCAGGTTGTTATTCAGGATGATTAACCGAAGTTCTTAAGGGGTTAGAGCATTGTACTATAGCAAAGGCCTTATTTCATGAAAGATCCACAGTATACTGTGACCAAGATGTTTCACCTTTGTTTTGCCATTCAGAGAACCATGGTTCCAGACTGAAAATTCTCATGCTAGCCTCTAGTAGAAGGATGACCTTAGTGGTACAACACCCTGTGCCATAACTTTTCTTCAGAGTAAATCATTCTTTTTGTCAGTGTGCAGCAGTGTCACTTGCACATTTAGACAGAATGTGCTAGAGATTTCCAGGGTAGAGTAAGTGGGGACAGTTGGCCATAGTCTGTGTTGTGTCTTTTGCCCATTAGTAGTTTTGATAATTTAATCAAATAATTACTAGTGACCTTGAAATAGGTAGTCTTGGTTAGTAAAAAAAAAAAAAAAAATATTCATTTTTAGCAGTAGTACAGAAGCAGACAACCTATTCCATTGAAGAATGCACAGAGGCTTATTGCTTATCACTGATCAATTTCGATTATTTCTAAAGATTGGTATAGTTACTTTTTTTTAATATGAAGAACTCTCTAAAATTTTAAATTCTTTTTAGGTATACATGACAGAGTGTATTTTGATGTATTATACATACATGGAGTATAACTTCCCATTCTTGTGGTTGTACATGATTTTGGTATAATTATGAGGCATTCAGTTAGGATATATTTCAGTGCTGATTCTAGATTTACATCTCAAAGGTAGCTTTCAACATCTATTTAGCAATTTGATGTAGAGAGAATATAATTTTTCCAAACCAGGTGGATTTAGACAATGTCTCTAGTTTGATCACATTAGCTAGACATTATTAGGGTAATTCTGTGACTTCCCTGCTTGGCTCACATTCTGGAGTGTGAGTGATTCTGTTTAGTTGAAACTGAGCCACACTGTTAAGACAGGTGCTTGGTAATTTAGATATGTATCTATGTTTGTACTCTTAAATCCTGACATGTTTTATTATTACTAAAATTTGTGAATTTACTGTGAAATTGTCACTAATTCTTCCCCATCTGTAATTTTTCAAAATCTAAGATTATATTGGCCTCCGCACTGTGGAGCAGTGGAGAGTGAGTATAGACTTTTGTCTAGTTTGCATCTGAAAACTTGGGATTTCTTCGAATAATCTACAATGCTCAAAATCCTTCCTTTTTGGGGAAAAGAGGATAGTGTCAGGTTTAAGATATTTATTTAGTAAGGAAGAATAATTTTGAGTGAACC